CTTTTGTTTTGTCTTGTCTATGATTTAACACGTTAAGGGTCTCATTCTGAAATTTTGTATCAGTACAGGAGAAAAAAACTTTTACATGTCTTTGCCTATAAAAACAACAAATAAGCAGACCCCAAATACATATTTAGAAAAAGGTATAAATTAGGAAAGGATATATAGGGATTTAGCGGCGGGGGGGGGGGGGGCGGGGGGGGGTGAGGGAGGCGAGTGATGTTAACTATTTCATTTCCATAAAGGGCTGGTAGGAAGCCACGGACCTTCCGCTCATTCCCCAGTGATCTGTTCTTTCTTTCCCTATATCCCTAGCCCGGAAGTTCTGTAGGAGTGAGTAAGCACGTGGCAACACGAGAAGACAGAATGTGGCTTCTTGTGAATCAGGCAATGCCAGAGGAAGAGGAAAAGAATGATTAAGGAAACCCTCGAAGTCCCCCGTTAGTTTCAACTGATAGGAGGACCTGTGATCCCTCTCTTGGGCAACTAATTAGAGGAGAAAGAGCTTGTCTGGAAACACACAGACCTGTCATATTCAGAATTAAGTCACTTTCAAATTTATAAAATTCTCTCCTCCATTCATAAAATCGCATCGTTAAGAAATGTAGATTTGAGGATGCCTACTTCTAGCTGCATCCTGGACTGAAAGCATCTTCTGTTACAACAACAACCAAAAAAACAAACCCTATTTCTTATATTAAACGGAGTTTTTGTTGCACTGCTTAGCTTTAAGGAAATAGGAGGAATGTGCACAGAAAACCTCCCAATCCCAAACACGCACGCACACATACACGCACAGTATAAACACACCCTGAGCTGAATGCAAAGGTTTTTTTTAATGATTTTATTTATGTTCAGAGAGAGGGGAAGGGAGGGAGAAAGAGAAACACCCATGTGAGGTTGCCTCTCGCACGCCCCCTACTGGGGACCTGGCCCCCAACCCAGGCCTGTGCCGTGACTGGGGGATTCAATCGAATTTGCGACCTCTCAGTTTGCAGGCCAACGCTCAATCCACTGAGCCACACCAGGCAGGGCTGAATTCAAAGTTTTGAGCATCAAATACTGCAATTAAAAAAATCAAGTCTTGTTGCCCGTACCAGTGCGGGAGCTGTCTCTGAGCTGGGGCTCCTTCATTAAGTAAAAACCCCCTGAAGGGAGTGGAAGTGATCTCAAATCTTAATGCCTCCTGGCTGAAGCAAACACAAATAAGCCTCGAACCCAAGGGCTCCCAGATTTCCACAGATTAAAGTCAATAAAATATAAACTCTGGATCAAAGGTAAGCATGGCACGAGGAAATCAACCATTAACGTAACTCAACAGAAACAACACACGGCAGAATGTCAAATATCTATCTATCTATATCTACCTATCTATATATGTATATAGATACATAAAATGAACAAGCAGAAGAGAATATCAAACAATAATACGGGAGATTTGGAAGGGGAATGAAAGATGAAAATACTGAAGTAAAAAAAGTGTTAAACTACAGGTTAGTCACAGGTAAAGAGAATTAAAAAGCTGAAAAACAGATCTCAATACCCAGAATGCAGCCAGAATGACAAGGAGATAGAAAATATGAAACATAAAACAAAGATTACGAAATAACAAAGAAATTACGAAAGAGAATGCTAAATTCTAAAACGTATCTGGTTAGGCTTCCTAAAAGGTGAGAAGAGAGACAGACAATGGAGGAAATTCAACAGTAATTGCAAAGACATGGCCAGGTCATTTTCCAAAATGATAAATGACAATTCACAGATAGAGGAAACAATGTAGTTGTCTGAAGCATATGGAACCGTAGGTCAAGTGGTTTAATATCATTCATTTCGGATGGATCAACCTATACCAAGCTAGGTACCCACAAAGAAGCCAACACCTAAATTCACTCTAATGAAAATGCAGAACACCAAAGACAACCAATCTTATCAACAGCCTGAGAGAGAAGAGGTATCACTTATAAAGAAATGACAAGTAGGCCGGCATCAAGTTTTTCAACAGCAAAAATGGAACCCAAGTATCAGTGGAACAAATTTCTCAAGTACTGACAGAAAGCAGTGAGCGCACAATGCAACATACAGGTCATGTACTACAGAACGGGAAACCTCCCGCCCTCGTATCTCTACTGACCACTGACATTCCAATTTAATTTAAAAAAGATCTGCTGACTTGAAAGTGTTTACCTAGCAAATCTTCACTCAAAACAAAAAGGACAAAGTTATTTTCATATATGCAAAAACTGGGAAGCATTCACTACCAACAGAAGTAGATGAACTTTTTAATATACTTCAGAAAGAAGGAACAGACTTCCGTTAATAGGTCTCATCCTGCTCGGTAACAGACCAAGATTGTCCAATGGGATTAAAAAGATGTAACGTGCTACTTAGGGCCCTAAATGCAGACTCAGAAAATTTGAAAAATAAAGGGATGAAGAAGATATAACAGGCAAATACTAAGAAGATGAAGTAGTTATCTGAATGTCGAAGCAGACTTTAAGAAAGAAATGCATTATAAGTGATGTAGAAAGCCATCAGATAATGTCAAGTATTAAATTCATCAGGAAGATTATAAACAATTATAAATTTATATGACTTTAATAAACTGCCTCAGTAAATATCAGGTAAAAACTGATAAAATTCTAGGGATAAACTGACAAATCAAACATCAGAATGGGAGATTTCAAAACACATTACTCTGCTATCGACAGATCAAAGGAAAAACCCTCAATAAAAGTAAAGGTTGCAAATTACAACGCGAAGCTTGACTTATTATTCTACTCCAAGTCCAGTCCTTAGAGAGCCCTGTCCCAACAAGCAGATAAACACATTCCTCTTGAGCACATACGGAAAAATCACAAAAATTTAGGACATACTAAGTCATAAAATAAAGTTCAAAGAGCTAGTTATCATAAAAACATATTTTCTGCATGCAATACAATTAAATTAGATGATAAGAGCAGAAGAATCCAACAAATTAACTTTTAAAACACCTTAAAACATCTCATAGGTCAATGAAAAAATCCTGGAAATTTAGATACTTAGGACTAAAAGATAACAAGAATAACACTTAAATGCGTAAAATTCAAAATAGTAATGAGAGCTTTATCATTGTAAATGCTTATGTTAGGGGGGAAAAAGGTAACTAACTCATTTGGTTTCAGCCTCGGAGCTGACAAGGTCAGGAGATGGGAAGGATGAGCTGGAAAAAACCCAAAGACAGCAAAATAGAGGAGATAATAAAAAGGAGAAATTAATGAACTAGGACACAAAACTATTGGGTTGGCCAAAAAGTTCGTTTGGTTCTTTCCACACAACGGCTCTAGTCGTCCTTAGTTGTCTTTCACGTCATTCAAAACAATTTTGTTAGTTGAGTGTGAGTTAAAAAAAAAACTTATCAAAATTGGTGACTTCTTGCGTAGTCATTTTAATACTGACGATGGAAGAAAATATGCAATATTTTCAGCACATTATGCTTTATTATTTGAGGAAAGGTAAAAACACAACTGAAGGGCAAAAAAAGGATTTGTGCAGCGTATGGAGAAGGTGCTGTGACTGACTGAATGTGTCAAAAGTGGTTTGTGAAGTTTCGTGCCGGAGATTTCCCGCTGGAAGATGCCCCACGGTTGGGAGACCAGGTGAAGTTGATAGGGATCAAATGGAGACATTAATTGAGAACGATCAACGTTATAAATACGTGGGAGATAGCCAATATACTCAAAATATCCAAATCAATAAAGCTACTGGTGAAAATGACAAATGTCTCTTTTATTTTACAGAAAAAAACATACAGACTTTTTGGCCAACCCAATATAATAGACAGGATCAAAAAACCCAAATGTTGACTCTTTGAAAACATTACAGCGACTGTGAAACTTCCCCAAGGGTCCAGGGCTAATGAATGGAGGAGCCCAGATTTAAATCTAAGCAACCTCTCTCCATAATCCAGATTCTTAATTACCTCAAAAGTGATACGCATAAAAGAAAACACTGCAATATTTGACTACAATAATCTGAATGATATCTACCCACCATAAATACTGTAAGACAACACATACATGACACATGTAACTGAGAAAAGATTAGTGTTCAGAATACATAAAAACTACAGATCAATAAGAAAAAGACAACAACCCATAAACCAAATGGACCAAAGGCTCTCAAAAGCATTTCCCAGAAAAGCAAACAGCCAATGTGCACATGAGAACACATTCATAAGTAATCCAGGAATGCAAAGCAAAAATACAATGTGATGTAATGACCAATTTGTCATTTTGTAAAGTGTATGACTGTCCGGTCACTATGTTGTACACCTGAAACTAACTCAGAATGGTGTGGAATGTAAATTGTAAGTGGAAACTGAAAATTAAAAAAATACAATGTGACGGTTGTTCTATGTGAGGTAGAGTGATAAAAATTAGAGTCTGAAAATGCCAAATGTTGGCCAAGGCGCAGAGCTGCGGGACTTCCACCGGAAACTGATACAGCTCCCTGGAGACAGACTTGGCTACTGCCTTGTATGAACATGGACATACCCCATGGCTCAGCAATTCCAGTCCTAGATACGTATACTAGAGAAAGACTTGAATATGTATATTCTAAGCACATAATAGGGTATTAATAAAAGCAAAAACTGGAAATACGTAGTGTCCATCAACAGAAAAACGAAAAAAAAAAAAAACCAAACGAAACTGTGGTGTACGCACAGTGACAATTCGCAATGTAGAGCAATGAAAATAAATTAACTCTAATTTTACACAATAAGGATGATACTCTGAAATGTAATATTGAGGAGAAAAAGAGAATTTACAGTACGATTCTATTTTTACGGCTCAAATGCAGGCCAGACTGTGTCTATCAGTGAGGTAGTAGGTAGGCAGGGAGAACGAGGATAAGAAAGGAGAGCAATGAAGTGCATGCAAATACCAAATCTTGAGTCAATCTCCCTTCCGTCTGATTTGCATCTCCTACCCGAGTACTGAGAGAAGCGAGGGCAGTCGTACCTGCAGAAACACTGGGGGAGCTCCCCATGGCCGTACAAAGGAAACAGGAAGGGGGTGTTGCCGTAGCGCCCGAGACAGTGCAGGAAGTTTCTGGTAGCTCTGAGGCCCTCGACGGTGCTGCTGGCCGTCCCTGACGTCATCGCGATCGAATGCAGAACAAAATATTGCAGATTGGGAGTTAAGTTTTGAGTTTTTAAATATTCAGAAAATGTCATCTCCTCATAGGCTATGAGAGAAACAAAGGTGAAGATTTCTCCGTTAAAATCTGAACCAAACCTCAATTGAAAAATCACTACACAAAAATGAGATCGAGTCTGTTTAAAATCCTTGGCGAAGGACATGAGTGGCAGTAATATTATATTTTGGACAGAGAGCAACAGTTTGCGGGGGGGGGGGCCCGGAAATCTCACTGTCCTAATTGGATTGATGGCACAATTTTTAAGCTTTAAATTATGAACCTTTCTTTAGTATTTTACAGATTTAAAAAGTAGAAAAGTACCCGGCTCGTGTGGCTCAGAGGACTACGCGCCGGCCTGCGAATCAAATGGTCGCGGGTTGGAGTCCCAGTCAGGGCACAGGCCTGGGTTGCGGACCACGTTCCCCAGTAGGGGGCGCACAAGAGGCAACCGCACAGGAATGTTTCTCTACCTCTTTCTCCCTCCCTTCTCCTCTCTCTAAAAATAAATAAATGTGTAAAACTTTTTTAAAAACATAGACTAGCATTAAATAGCTCATTAACCATCACGATAGTTCTCCATGGTTGGCAATAGTCTTACTTTATCATTACAATTGCAGAATAATGCCGGTAATTGTATTTTGAAATATTAAATATGACAAATGGCATATTTTTGATGAGAGTGATAGAGCAATACGTGATTTTTTGAAATGTGCATTCCTTCTTCAAACTAGGAACAATGAACTGACTAAAAAGTAATAAAACTAATTTCTTGGTGGCCAGTGAAATCAGTCTTACTGCCTTATAAACACAACACAAAAGATAAGGGGTCCGCCAAAATCTATCTCTTGAAGCCAAGAAAAGGAAACAGCGCAACTGGACTGTCAGTGGTAGGAAATACAATTCTATGACAAAAGACAAAAAACTTTATAGACATTATATAAACAAAGATTATAAAAATCTACTGAGATAATATGTTTAAGAGCAAGAGCTAGACTTCTTCTATTCAATTTATTGCGGCAACACTGGTCTCCAAAACCACACAGGTTTCACATGCACAACTCAACAAAACGTCATCTGCACATGTACTTAAAAAAATGCTGCTGTTCTTCTCATTGTAACTTTATAAATGAATCGTTAATAGTATCTTCTTATTTTGGATAACTTTCCAGTCCAGTGCCCTTCAAGTGTGAAGCTCTGTTACTAAAGTGGTCAATTCAATTTTCAACAAACTGAGAAGTTGCCAGCCTCAGAACACACAGTAAGATGGGTCAAAGCCAAGAGAGAAACCATGTCTTCTCCTAATCCAGCAGTTTCCATCAGACAATCAATCTAGCCTCTTTTTTTTCAATCAATCAAAATGAATAATTCAATAATCCAAGCACAAAGGAATTAATGAACCATGCACAAGACTATAGTAGTTACTCCATAATCCACGAATCCATTTTCCGTGGTTTGAGTTACCTACGGCCAGCCAAAGTCCAAAAACATTACATGGAAAATTCCAGAAATAAGCAATTCATCAATTTTAAATTGTACCCAGTTCCGAGTAGCACGATGACATCTTGTGCAGCCCTGACCTGCCCCTCCACATCCCTCCCTGCATAGGAAACACCCTTTGGTCCAGCATATCCACGCCGCATACGCTATGTGGTGGTCACTTCGTAGCCACTGCAGTTAGCAGATCAAATGTCTCAGTATCACAGTGCTTGTGTTCAAGTAACTCTTACTATGCTTAAAAATGGCTCCAAACCACAAGAGTCGTCATGCTAGAAATTCATACGTGCCAAAGAGAAGCCATAAAGTGTAGATATGCATAGTGCATATACGTTTCAGAACTATTTGGAATTTCAGGCATCCACTGGGGGTCTTGGAACATATTCCCCGTAAATGGGGGCGGGGGGGTACCGCATCATCTATGAAGAATCAGTTGACAGAAATATTTAATGGACAATAAATATTAACACACAGCAGAGCGTTTCTTCAATGATGAAAACGTTCTATAGCTGCACTGTAGCCACAATAGCTATTAGCCACATGTAGCAATTGAGTGCTCGAAATGTGGCTAGTGTGAATGAGGAAGTGAATTTTAAATTTTATTTAATTTTAATTAATTTAAGTTTCAATAGTTTCATATTGCTAAAGGTTAATATAGTGAATAATGCACAGTAAGAATGTATTTTAAGCCCTGGCTGGTGCGGCTCAGTGGACTGAGCGCCGGCCTGTGAACCCAAGGGTCGCCAGTTCAGTTCCCAGTCGGGGCACAGGCCTGGGTTGTGGGCCAGGTCCCCAGTAGTGGGTGCGTGAGAGGCAACTCTACATGGATGTTTCTCTCCCTCTTTCTCCCTCCCTTCCCCTTTCTCTAAAAATATTTTAAAATGCATTTTACAAAAGTAATAAGGAGCTCCCTACATGAGAAAGAGCATATTAAAATAAGCAAGCTCCATTAATTGGAAAACAGTAAAATGAAAAACAATACCTTTATATTCATCAGGATGTTCCTCAAACTCCATACAAAACGTAAGAAACTTCATTAGCATTCGCTTTTCTACCATTGTTAGTTGTTTGCTATTGAAGACATCTGCTCTTGAACAAGGAACCTGAAACACATGATTTTAACTTAAGAAACTGCTTCCTAGTAATAAACAAGTATCCCAAAATGCATTTTCCCCTTCAGATATAGCAAGATTATTATTTCCATTCTACTCAGGCTGTTTCACGTTCCCTTCCATCAGTTCTAATGGCATCTCTGTTGACTTAAGAACTAATTAACTTGTGAGCTCTCTTACTTAATTTGCCAAGTTGCTCTGTATGCCATTAAAAGGCCAATGGCATGTCACCCTTAACTGGCAAATGACAGCTCAAATGTAGCAATGCTGCCCAAAATTAACACTTTCTCAACGCCAATATCAAGCTGCAGAAGAACTCATGAGAAAATTAACACATTTTCATTGAACGATCTCTTACTATTTACATTTGTAACTCATCATGCAGATCTGGGATTTGCTACTTCACTGGGAAAATAACAATCTTATTTTGCTTATCCTTCCAAAACAAACCCTAAAGAACTTAAGCTCATATCCAGTTACAGTGGTTGATCAGCACAATACCTGTTCCACTCTTCCTTCTCGAAATGCAAGAATCCTGGTAATATTTTTGAACTCTGCATAGCGACTGACATTAGATTTGATTAGGAGATCAATTAGCAATCCCCGAGAATACAGGAGCTGCACAAAGAAAACAGTTCAGAGCATGAAATAAAAGGTCAAATAGTGGAAAATTGATAAATACTAAATATAGACGTACAGTTGCTATATTTTGAGTTATTTGTAAAATTTGTAAAATTAAATTATTTGTAAAACAGCATCACGCCCATTAATATTATAATCGACAACATATTACAGGTTGACAATGATCTGCAATTCAAATTCCAAAAACCTCTAGAATCGCCAGTTTTTCCGTAACTGGTTTGGTAAGCAAACCTGACCCAAATGGATATAAGGCTCTCCTGCCTTTGCCCCACATAACCCATCGGGCTGAAGAAATATTAGTATGTGTAATGACACAGCGCCCCCTCAGACTCTGCTAAGAACGTCACATCATACAGAGCATATCAGCACATACACTATATCATTTTCTAAGATACGCATTTTATGCAATTTACTGGCTGACACTGGTTAATAAAATTATACACGTTTCGGGTGTAGAATTCTACAATACAGCATCTGCACACCTTGTATTATACTGTGTGTTTACCTCCTCAGGTCTCCTCCCATCATGCTTTACTCACCCTTCACCCTTTCCTACCTCCCCCACTTCCCTTACCCCTTTGGCGATCGCCTCATGTTAGTCAGTGTCTATGAGGGTTTTTTTTTTTTTTGGTTAATCTAACATACCGTATTTTGCCATGTATAATGCGCTCCTGTGTATGATGCACACCCACATTTTTGGCCCAAACTTCCAAGGAAAAAAAAAATGTTTCATTATCATTTTTAATTCACTTTTTTATTTATATATCAAACCAATGATCGTTATTTCATGGTATTATTTGGCATACAGACATTGTTATTGCTTTCTAGAGTTACATTTTTTTTAAAGATCTTATTTATACATTTATTTTTAGAGAGAGGGGAAGAAGGGAGAACGAGAGGGAGAGAAACATCCCTGTGCGGTTGCCTCTCGTGCGCCCCCTGCTGGGGACCTGGCCCGCCACCCAGGCCTGTGCAGTGACTAGGAATCAAACGGGCGACCCTTTGGTTCAGAAGCCGGCGCTCAGTCCACTGAGCCACGCCAGCCAGGGCTCTAGAGTTACACTTTTAATGCATGAGCATAAAGAAAAGAAATAAAAACATTTATATAGATACAAAATTAGTATTACCCATATATAATGCACATCCTTATTCTTCCCTCAAAACTTTGGGCAAAAAAAGTGTGCATTATACACGGCAAAATACAGTACATATTTTTAAATCTGAATAACAGAACACACCAGGCCCCAAGGGTTTTGGATAAGGCGCCGTAGCCTTACCTATGGCCAGCTGCTCATTAAGAACATGCACGCTAACTGGACCACCTCATCAATCAAAACAGAAAAACACTGGTTATGCATTTCCATCGAAAGAGTCAAATTATAAGGTCCCTCTGTAATGCCGCCAGTCTAGATTGACCTGAGATACATCCTTCCCGAGAAGTAAGGATGATGGGTATACATGGGAGGAATTGATTTAATCCTTCAACATCTCTCAGAACCAATAGGAGAGACAAAAATAAATTTGAAAGAACTGACTAACCTGTTTTAAATTTAACCATATGGTCAAATGCAACAGATGTGGCTATTTCCTATATTGAGGTACCTTTATGTGATCATAACTCAATAAATGTTAAAAACTTAAATGTTACACCTTTAATAAGGAAAAGAGAATTATTAAAATTTAGCTTTACTTCACAGAAAAAGGGAATTTCAAAATCCAAACCATTAGTCTGAGTATTCAAGAGGCCAGTTAAGGATTTCTGTTAATCAATTATCAGTTAGGTGAATTTTATCAATTATTTATTATATTAGTCCAGCATTATGCAGAACAAACAAAACTGGCATTTTTTTTTGAAACTAATCCAATTCCACTCATTGAATTATGGCATGTTACCCCCTTACTTTCAGCCTAATATACTGCACACCTGATAGAAGCCCATGTTTTCGAGAACATCCTGCCAAGTCTTACTTCTGCAATTATAATTTTAAAAGGTGCTTCGAATAATTCATTTGTTTAAAAATACTCCAGATTCAATGATCCCTCAGTAGTCATAATAATTTCACAAATATTAATATATCAAACATGAAATGTATGTACACTTAATGAAATCTAATAAAGCTTAAGATTCAATGCCAGCTTTAAAAATACTGCATTTTGGACATCTTTCAAGAGTGAAAACAGATTTCAATTGAAACTCTTCTAAAGTTTGTCTGAAGCTTAGAGGTAATGAATATGTTACTATATTTAAACTTAAGCCTCTTTTTCATCACTCTCTAAGTGATCTACCACAGCAATATCACAGGGGTGAGGCAAAAGATTAAAATAATGGGAACTAGATTTCATATTAATTTTTGCTTTACATGGCATGTTGCTTCCATAAATAGTAAGGGTATGCACGTTTTCAGAAGTAAGTTTTGATTATGAGAACTTCATCTTTGATCATCTTGTCTATTAGTCGAAGCCGTATAACGCTATAAAGTATTTCATTTACCTAGCTGACCTTGAAGATCACTTTTTAATAAGCCGCTGACATGGATGTGTTTTGTAAACTGTAAAGCACCACATGAGACAGAATGCATATACAAATGTTAAACTGAACTTTAGGAAAAAGGAGGGCTGGTGGTAGGTATCTGGCCATAACCCCAAGCTTAGACGTAATAGCTGCAATTATTAGAACAGATGGAATTTCCAAGGCATGGTTGACGGCCGCGGTTATCATGGGATACAATGCTTTCCACACAGTAGGTACTCAGTAAATGTTCTCTAAAGGACTAACATTAAAAAAATGATAATAAGCCTCTTGTGTTGCTATAGTTATACATTCTTTAGCTACTCCTGCTTTTGTAGGATGAGTACAGTCAATTATTATTGGTTATTCAAGTGTATGAACCCGTGAAAACTATGCAGAACACAGTGCAACTGCTTCAATGCTACTCAACGTGTTTGCTTTTAATTTCCCCTAAGAGAAGCACTATTATTAACCATTCAAACTCATAAATATACCCAGAACTCTCGTGAAATGTCTCAGCATCTACCTATCTCCCCGCGCACTACAACCATCCTTCATTTTCTTATACAAGTAAATAGTTTCCTACACTAATTCCAAAAATGAAAAAGCCATGTCTCCTCCCATTTTCCTTTGTAAGATTCATACTGTGTTTCAGTTATGAATGAGCCTTGATTCTTAACCATTCTTTACTTCATTGCTTATTTAAGTAAGGCACTTCAAATCTCAAGTAACTTACTCAAAATGAAATTTTCATAACAAAACCTATGTGTTAGTTGACACCCAGTTGTTTTTTTGGTTTTTTAAAAAACTATTTCCCAGTCATGAGAACAAGAGGACTGTTTGTGAGCTAGGATTCAACTTCCACCCACACATGAAGAGCAAAGGTAGCACAGGAAGAAGGTGGAGACGCAGAACAGACAGCGCAGAAATATGCGGTAGGAGTGCGGCGGAGTCAGACCCAGAGCGCCAGGCGATAGGAAGAAGCAATGGATAGATAGTACAGAGAGAGTCCTGTTTTGAGGCATCAAGTTCAAAGAGAAGAGCACTATGAGGATGTAGGGTTGTATCAGCAAAACGTGAGGGGTGTGCTTTAGTCCCTCTCCTTAACTCTCTGACTAGGAACTTGAAGAGGACACATTACATTGAAAAGCTGTTTTGTGAGGAGACTGATGTTACTCGCTACCCTCCCCTACTTCTTTTCCGTTTCTCATTGTTTGCCCTCAACGTATCCTGTACTTTGTCTCTGTTCCTTTATATTTTCACTCAGCCCTATAGCTTAACTCTTTTTAAGGCCACTATCATTTATCTGAGGGGTGTTGTAACCTTTTGCACTAAACAGCCCTAGCTTCTACAAACCGGATGCAACATTGTAGCCTCCTAAGACTAACACAGTGACCTAACATTAGAGTTAAGGGTGGAAACATAATCAAGGGCAACACCATTCTTTCCAGCCTCCCTGTCCGCACTACTATGAGATTATTCTCCAAGCTCTCACACCTGAACAGACGATTTCCAAAACTGCATCAGGTGGGGTTTTTTTCCCCCAGAATGTTCATTATCACATAGATTTAAAAAACAGTTGTTATACTATGCCCTGGCTGGTGTGGCTCAATGCATTGAGCGTCAGCCTGCAAACCAAAGGGTTGCCAGTTCGATTCCCAGTCAGGGCACAGGCCTGGGTTGGGGTCAGGTCCCAGTGGGGGGCGCGCGAGATACAACCACACACTGACATTTCCCTCCCTCTCTTTCTCCGTCCCTTCCCCTCTCTCTAAAAATAAATAAATAAAATCTTTTTCTTTAAAAAAAATCAGTTACTATACATAAGGGCTAAAAAAAAGTTCACTTAATAGACCAACTATACATAACATGAAATTGTAATTAAGATTATTACAGTTTTTCTCTTGATCAAATTCCCATCTATGCCATAGGAGAATACGAGGGTGGACTTCCTGCTCTAGTCCAAACATATCCTTGCAATCTAGCACTAAGCATTTTTAATGTTCTTAATCTATATTTAAAGATATTTAACTGAATTACAACCTCTTCGCTGCTGTATCTTCACAAAATAAATGTTCTCCACTTCACAGAGTAAAATTATAAAAATTGTGTTCATGGGCCCAGATGCTATGTTCAATCAATTAGCACTGTTTCTCTGATAAGCTGGGGGAAAGTGGTACTTACCTTTGATACCAAATCGATATTAAATCTCCTGCCTTCTTTAACAATTTGCGAGTAAGTAATCCTGTTTTTCCTGTCTTCTGCTCCAGGCACATTGTCACTTGTTTCCTCTGAGGTTGACAGCACACAAGTTTTATCGTCACAATGGTTTTCTTTCTCCCCTGTCACTTCGGCATCATTTACTTCCAGAGCGTTCTCTGGATCGTGGCTCGGAGCTGGTTCCGTGGGCCCTTCACAGCTCGCAGTGCGCGATGACTCGTCTTCCAGGGACGGGCAGGCCAAACCTGCGGCTTCCGTGGAGGTCGCCGACGCCACCAATGCGTGGTTTTTCTGCAGTGCACCAGCCTCTTCGACACCTTCGTGCAAATCCTGACTAATGAGAAATCATAATAATAATCAACACCGCGGTTTTGATCACTGTACATGGCTCCATTTTTGTATTTTCACTTTTAATGGGAATTTTTATTTCTTTACCCCATTTACCCTTATCAAGGGCACCGTATGTTTTGCCTTCTGTGATCCACACATTAAATATTTGTCTGTTCAGGTTTTAATATTTACAATAGGAACCATAATTCACGTTTGAAAAATACACAAATAGTGCACGGTTAAGCAGTCTGTGTCGCACGTACATTTTTGGGAATGTAGAGCACAGAGTGGAACCTTATTTTCAAAACAAATCAAAATAGTGCTTACGAGCACAGCCTTCTGAATAAACAAACAGTGATTCAAACCCTGACCTATGACTAGGTAACTCTGTGGACTTAGATAAGTAATTTATCCTTTCCGACCTAGATTACGCATCCGTAACATAGCGCCAGCATCCCTAACACAGCGCCAGCATCCCTAACATAGCGCCAGCATCCCTAACATAGCGCCAGAACCCTTGATGCCATAGGTGCCTAATAATACCCCCTGCCCCACAAGATTGTCCTGAAGGTTAAAGAAGGTATAACATGCAAATAACCAGGCGCAGAGTAAATGACCAACAGTGGTAGTTATCAAAGATAATTATTACTATTGGTGCTCAGACAGAGCTAGAAAACAGTGTCATGAAAGTAGAAACTGGTTTATCATGGTTTCTGTATTCTTTCCTGCTGTGTTTTAAGTATTAGTGTCTATTACTCTACCGGAAGCGCTGCTTCCAAAGTTTCTACCGGAGTGAACGTTCTCGGTCTGTTGCTGATGTTCCTGAGACATCAGGCTCCCATGTATTCTTCCTGCATCAAGGTACTGCTCCGTGAGGTTTCATCCACCCCGGAGGCTGCATTTTTGGTGCGTTGCCCTACTGCTCGACGCTGCTCAACAATACAACTGCCTTCTACCTGACAGCCGCTGGGAAGCGAGCATCTGCTAATCGATGGCTCAAGAACGAACAGTGGCTCAAGGACTAATTACCTGTCTCGTGCACGGCCTGAGAGAATGGCTACTGTCCACAAGACAGGTAATAACAAGTGCTGGAGAGGCTGTGAGGGGAAAGGAGCCCTCACTCACTGCTGGTGGGAATGCAGACCGGCGCAGCCGCTGTGGAAGACAGTATGGACGTTGCTCAGGAAGGTAAGACTAGAGTTACCATCTGACCCAGCAACCGCGCTCCTGGGTGTCTACCTGGAAAACTCGAAAACATCTATTGACATATGCACCCCATGTGTTCGCTGCAGCATTATATTCACGGTGCCAAGACACGGCAGCAACCGAAGTGCCCTTCCATAGAGGAGTGGATGAAGAAGACGTGGTACATGCATACAATGGAACACCACTCAGCCGTAAGAGGAGATGAAATACCGCCATTTGTGACAACAGGGATGGACCTTGCGGTTATGACGCTAAGTGAAATGAGTCAGACAGAAAAAAGTTAAGAAGCATATGACTTCACTCATTTGGGGGCTATAAAACTGCAACTCAGGCCCAGGCAGCAGTCCGGTGATTAGCAGAGGGAAGGATGTTGGGGGCAGTAAATGGTAAAAGGGGGCCGCATATACTTTGATGGAAGATGATCTGACTTCGGGTGGGGGGCACACGATGCAAAATACACATCATGCATCATAGAAATGTCCACCTGAAACCTGTGTGATCCTATGAACCAATGCCACCCCAGTACATTTAGTAAAAAACACAAAATGCTAACGAAATTTTCTTCTACAGATCTAAACCCTACCACTTAAAATCTTCCTGTTCCTCTCTCTAAACTGAGTCACCTTCTTTATCTACTCTCCTCCAGTCTCCTCTCTCCTGCCTTCCGAGATGGCATCTCTCCTTCCTAGTTTATCAAACGCCGATCTCCGTGTCTTGGCCCGTATCATTTGTTTATTCTGGCTGAGTCTTTCCACGCCCCATAAGATCATAATTCCCATCCTCAAACTTCATGGTGTAATTCACAGTCTATCCGTAAGTTTAAATTTCACTTTGAAGGAGCCATCCCGAACCCAAGCTTTCTCACGTAATGCACACATGAAGTCTGCCTTGCATTTATTTCTCAGTTCTTTTTCTACAGTCATTTGGTTTCCCGGACAGACTTGATATTCTGAATCATACTTTAGTTCTTGAGGGAAGATCCTAGCATCTCTTCCTGTGTGTTCCTCCTCACACCTGCTGCTCTGCTCTGTAACCGCGCTATACGATAAATGCTTGATGAATAAATGCTTTGTACAAGCAAAGCATAGAAACATATGTGTACATATAAATACGAAACAAATTTATTCGTAGAAAACCCCAAAACTTAGGCCAGGAAAAAAACATCAGTCAGTGGTGAATTCAAAAGCCTGGGTTCAGTGAAAAAGAGGGCCTTATTAAAAATTAACACAATAAATATTGCAATAAAAAGGGTACGATGAAAGAATAAAATAACTTATTATAAATGTCAAGGAATTAAATGCCATGGTATTTTTACTGTTATAACCCAGTAATTTTAATTAAATATAATGAGAAAGAACTTGACATTATTAATGTTCCAACAATACTCTTCAGGTCTAGGAAACTACTGTAAGGAAAGTTCAAGCCTGAGATGCATTATCACTTTGCAAATATGAGGCAACTCACAATTCCTCAGATTCCCTCTCTACAAAATGGAGACCATTCCATCTGCCTTACCCTTCACGAGCCTGTAATAGATAAATGAGCTACCGTATATGAAAAGTATTTTATAAACACTAAAAGGATACTCAAACATAAGCTATCAACCAAGTATAAGATCTGTTCAATGTCCTGCAGTTAACAACAAGCAACTCAAAACCAGAGGGCCTACGTTTTCTGAGGCACACATTGAAAGCTCTCTGACCACATAACCACCAACAGCACGAATGACATCGCTGACATTCAGAATGAAGGGTCCTGATACGAAACGTGGTGTGCATATTTTCTACAAAACTGTTCACGCGCTGTATCCACTTTCACTACTTTTGAAAACCAACGAAAAATGTGTTGTGTAAGGGATCTAAAGTAACAACTTTCAGCAAAAGTTCCATCCCTAAAGATAAAGCTGAACCCTGGCTGGTGTGGCTCAGTGGACTGAGCGGCAGCCTGTGAACCAAAGGGTCACCTGTTCGATTCCCAGTCCAGGCAGAGGCCTGGGTTGCAGGCCAGGCCCCCAGGAGGGGACGCGCCAGATGCAAACATACATGGATGTTTCTCTCCCTCTCTTTTTCCCTCCTTTACCCTCGCTCTAAAAATAAACAAACAAAATCTTTTCAAAAAGATAAAGCTGAGGGATAACAGGATAATTAATTACAATTTACAGATAAGACAGAACATGACGACTTCTCCTGCTACAGACCACGATGGTGACACTGTGGAAACTGATCAAGTCAGTGGCTCTCGATTATGCTCTGAGAAAGGGGACTTTGCAGAGTGAAGGAAATGCACTAACCAATGCTGGACAATCTGAAAGATATAAGCCAAAATACTTACATAACAGTGCAAATGTATGGAGAGAAATCATTCTTTGTGAACTCGTTCGACACACATAAACTATTAAGTTTTACTATTCTCACCGTCAGAATTTGGAGAAATCCCTCGTGCTACGTAAAACATACACATTAAAAACACCGTAGTGTCCTTACTTTCCATGAACCACCACCACAATATTTTGGAAGTTCTGCCCAAGTTGAATTTAATCCCTAACTAGAAGGCATCAAGGCACGAGAAAACGTCTAAAACTTAAACTTCACTCCATTCCTAAGTAAGCAAAATTCTCTTCTTCATTTATCTTTCCGTACAGTGTAGCCAATGGAGCAGCCAAAGAACTGATACACATGATCCATGGCCATGAACAACGGGGGGGGGGGGGGGGGGGTTGCCTGAGGGAGGGACGGCTCGGGGGAGGGGGGCAGAGGGGGAACGGTCAGGACACCTGTAACGGTATAATAAAATGTAATTAAAAAAAATCCAATTTAAAATAATATTCTTATTTAAAAAATCTTTAGAAAAGGTAATTCAACTTTTTGAAGCAAACTTCAGAACAAAATAATAACTCACTTTCATTAATTGTGAAATATTTGAAAAGTATCCTATTAAAAACACATTTGCAGGTTGCAAATGAATGTCCCTGGAATATATGCTCTCAAAGGAAATTTCAGAGTTTTAGAATGCTACTATAATTTTAACATATAAAGGGAAAATCTGTATCATTAGTTCTTATAAAAACTTTCAATAAAATAGACCTCACAAATGAAATGTAATGTTATTTATATTGCTAATTTGAATTTCAAAGGCCATTTACAATACAGTATAACAATATTTTTGAGATAATTTTACCTAATTGCAACTGCTGAATACTGCTTATATAATGCATTTTTTCCTAACTGCCAAAAATTATATATAAGCCTGAGAATTTGGGGGGGGGTATAAATTCTGATATTATCTAGTATTGCTTATTAATTAATGGCAGTAACAAAAGAACACCTCGAAGTGAATGTCTTATTAATGCCTTGTAACAGTCGCCCTTTGAGATGAATCAAATGAAAGATTACCAGCCAGCTGGTTAATTTATTCAGCACAGGTGTTCATTATTTATTTTTCAGCCATTTGCACCTTTGCTCCCCAGTACAGCTTGATGCAGAAATTGTTTTCTTTTACTCTGATGTATGCACTTTGTTCTAAGCCTGTTCATTTCTGATTTACACACTCTATGTTATACTGCTACCCAGCTGTTTATTCCTGCAAATAAATGTTTATGGTTACTCATAAGAGTTACAAAAATCACACTATCCAAAAGTTATTGTTCCAGAAAATAGTAATATTAAAAAAGCCCACTGTAATCAATTTTGAATTGCTGCAGCGTGATATATGGGTAGATATATTTCCTATTGATTACCAACTTAAAATGTTAATGCATACTGGAGAATATAGCTGAAATGTCAGCCTCTTGTCACCTTC